ATAGCAAAAGTAGCGTCACTAAAACCACTGTAACTCAATGACACAATGTCGGAATGTCATGAAAGTTTGACACGTAACTTCTAAAGGTTGGTACTAACTGAGTATGGTATGGATTTGTTATTAGAGGCGCCATCTGTTGATCAGTCCCGGGACTTATTGATGTGTTAGATTATCTCCAGAGGCTATACATTCAGTCTCACGTCGTTTAATTGCATTGAAATCCTGTATTCCAGCAGAATTTGCAAGAAAACCAAGAGATTTAAAACACATTGATAAATGGAAGGCTACAGAATCAATTCGTGCTCTATACAAGAATTGTTGTCATGAAATCCATATTACCTACAAATTGCTATTAGGTGCGCAATTAAGTTCCCGCTGTTTTTCAAGAGATGGCTCTAGTAGTAAGTGCTGATCGATTATGACATAACCAAAACGTCATGAACCAAGCTTAGACATATGGTAAACAAACCGCTTTGACACATTAGTGATTTTGTTTTTGCGTCATATACTTTTGGTTGTGTGAAAATGTCTTATTTTGTGCCAAATAAACGTCATTTGCGGGAAGTGTTGCTTTTCTTCTTTCATTCGAAGAAAACGGCGGCTGAAGCGCATCGAGAACTCCAAAAAGTTTACGGAGATGCTGCTCTAAGTGAAACAACGTGCCGTGATTGGTTCCGTCGTTTCAAAGACGGTGATTTCGATGTTGACGACCGTTCGCGTGAAGGAAGGCCAAAAACCTTCGAAGACGCTGAATTGGAGGCATTGCTCGATGAGGATCCGTGCCAAACGCAAAAAGAGCTTGCTTCAGCATTAGGAGTTACCAGCCAAGCCATTTCCAAGCGATTGCATGCGTTGGGAATGATTCAAAAACAAGGAACTTGGGTTCCTTATGATTTGAAGCCAAGAGACGTTGAGCGTCGTTTTTTCGCCTGTGAACAACTGCTCCAGCGGCAAAAAAGGAAGGGTTTTCTTCATCGCATCGTTACGGGTGATGAAAAATGGATTCATTACAGCAACCCAAAGAGAACAAAATCATGGGGACTGCCCGGTCATGCTTCTACGTCGTCGGCTCGGCCGAATATTCACGCTGCGAAGGTTTTGCTGTATATTTGGTGGGACCAGGGCGGTGTTATTTATTATGAGCTGTTGAAACCGAACGAAACCATCACTGGGGAACGGTATCGAACTCAATTGATGCGATTGAGCCGAGCACTGCGCGAAAAGCGGCCACAATACGAGCAGAGGCACGAAAAAGTGATTCTACAGCATGACAACGCTCGGCCTCACGTTGCCAAACCCGTTAAAACCTACTTAGAAACGCTCAAATGGGAAGTCCTACCCTACCCGCCATATTCCCCAGATATTGCGCCGTCCGATTATTACTTGTTCCGTTCGATGGCACATGGTTTGGTTAATCAGCAGTTCCGCTCATATGAAGACATCTCAAAATGGCTTGATTCGTGGATAGCCTCAAAAGACGAACACTTCTACCGTGACGGTATTCGAGCTCTGCCAGAAAGATGGGAAAAAGTTGTCGCTAGCGATGGGCAATATTTTGAATGATTCATTTGTAACCATTTTTTCACAATAAAGTTGCATTTTCATAAAAAAAAAACAACGAGAACTTAGTTGCGCACCTAATATAATCACTTTTTTTCTCTACATGTAGCTCTCAGGATATTAAGTGATTAGCAATTATATGTGCTATTTAATGCTTATGCGAATGCGTTGCTATTATATTTTATATCCAATTACGGAAAGATTTATGGTGAGGTGAGGAATATATGTCGCATAATGTTCACAATTTGCTACATTTTTCTAATGATGTACAAAACTACGGTTCATTAAATAACTTCAATTGTTTAAAATTTGAGAATTATATGCAAAAAATAAAAAAGAAATTAGAACAGTCGGGAACACCTCTAGAGGAATTATCAAATCGTCTTTATGAAGAATTACAGCTTCTCATTCAGTCATGTAAAATACAATAATATCCGATTGTTGTTTACAACAAAAATAATACAATTTCTTATGTCCAGTTTAAGAATTTTTAAATTAGAACTAATCAACCCGATAACTATGTTATACTTCATGACAAATCTTTAATATTTATCTTGGATATATTTGAAGGCAACTCTATCTGTTATATTTGCGCAAAACGTTTTCTAAATGAAACATCTTTTTTTGATATACCATGCCCTTCAGAAAGACTCGAAATATTTTTAATATCAAATACTACTACTGCAGATATAATTACAATTTCAGTAACATAAATAAAACAGAAATATATAAAAATTAAAAACTTTGATGAAATTGACTCTTATATCATGATACCACAAGCTACTGATAATTAGATGTTATATATATTGGTTAAATGTATTTCTATTTCCCATTCTATATTATGTGTCAAATTTATATATCGTGAGTATATACACAGTCTGTCCCAGATACGATGAAACTGGTTCCATCAAATTCTTAGCGCAGCGATATCTATGAGTGAATGATGGTAGGTGAATGTTCTACCTTTCATCTACTTAACCTCAAAATTTGAGCGAATTCGATTGATATTTCACTGTGGTTTGACATTTTATGTAAAGTCACTTTGTGTACGTCGGTTGAAAAACCAACTTTTAAATTGGGTAAAAGTGGTGCAGAAACGTACGAAACGCTACAAAATGTGTACGGGGATGAATGCATGTCCCGTGCACAGGTTTTCCGTTGGTTTGGCCGATTCCGTGACGGTCGTGAGGACCTTGCAGACGATGACCGAGTACCGCCGCCAAAAACCACTCGCAATGAAGAAAACATCGAGAAAGTCAAAGAAATTCTTCGAAGCGACCGCTGTGTGTCTGCCCAGATATTATCTGGGAGTTCTACAACGATTGTGGGCCAGAATTCGACGAGTTCGACCGGAATATCGAGAGCCAGGCAGTTGGTTTTTGTTGCACGATAATGCACCATCGCACAAAGCCATCATGGTACGTGAATTCTTGACCAAAAAAGGCATCATTGTTATCGATCATCCACCGTATTCACCTGATTTGGCTCCGTGCGACTTCTGGCTATTTCCCAAACTGAAATTGGCGATGAAAGGAAATCGTTTCGATACCATCCCGGTCATCCAAAAGACTTCGACCGCCATACTAAAGGTCATTCCAGCCGATGAGTATAAAAAATGTTTCGAAAAATTTGTTGAACGTTTCCAGCGCTGTATTGACTCAGAAGGAGACTATTTTGAATAAACAAGAATAAAAAATCAAAATAATAAACGCTTTGTATTTTTTTTAGACCAGTCTCATTGGATCTGGGACAGACTGTGTATTTCTTTTGCCTCAATATTAAATATTGGAAGTCTACAAGTATTGAACGGATATCGAATTAATGGATGATAACATTGCAAAGGTGAGTTTATAATATTTTAACATATGAAAACTTTATGCTTTCTTTTATACAATTAAAATAGGAAAATGAAAATTTAGGTAACCGATAATTATTTTGATACAGAAAGTATAGAGATATGGTAATTATTTGTATTAATCTGGATCTATAATGAGCTCTTAGCTTTAAGAAATAGTCACACTAATACTTACTAGCTGCTTTTAATTTTCAGTTTTTACAACATTGGACATTTCCCACATTATACGATATGAGCAACGAAAATAAAAAGTATGCTGTTGTAAAATTTTTATCGGATTTTACATATTCTGAAATTCCAACAGCCTGGCTGTTTAAAGACAAGGGTGTTCAGAAATGTTGGTGGCCTCCACGCACAGCAAACTGTGCAAACATTAATTACGACATGTACAAGTCCCAACCCAGTCGACATAATTTGTTACTGCTATATAACTTGGAAATAACAAGTTATATAACGAATATATTATAATAATTATACAACATTTATGTAATTTCTCTGTCTTTTTGTATATAACTACCACAGTCAACACATTTAATTGCTGCTATACACTTTCAAAATAACAAGTTATATAACGAATATGTTATAACTGTTACAGAACATTTTTGTAATTTTCCTGTCTTTTGTACATAACTGCCACAGTCAACACATTTAGTTGCTGCTATATAACTTGGAAATAACAAGTTATATAACGAATATGTATAACAGTTACATTACAATTATGTAATTTTGATGTTTTTCTCTACATAACTGCTCAGTCAACACATTCAGTTATTGCTATATAAACCTAGAAATAAAAAGTTAATAACCAATTATAAGAACGATAGAGTGGAAATTCTCAGCGGAACGGTACGCTCTGAGTCAGCGTAACTAATCATAGCCATTTCTCTTTTTTTCGGCGCTAATTCTGTTTTCCTGAAGTCAGCGTCTCATAGCATGGAAATTCTCAGCGGAACAGAACGCGCGAAGCCAGCGCGACCAATCACAACTATTTCTTTCATTTCGCGCCATTCGCGGAATGACCTGTGATCGGTCACGCTGGCTTCCCGTATTGCGTCGTGAGTGACACGCGGCAAGAGTTTCCGTATCCTGTGTGTAACAGAAGTCATAACGGACTATTGTCGTGTTCCGATATTCACTACGAGAAAGGAAGGAAGCACGTTATTGTTCTTATGTTGCGTTCGCTAACACGTGTCCGGAATTCAGAGCGAAATTCGACGTGACCTTTGTAGATTTGTCCTGTTGTCAAGGGAGAGAAAGGACAACGAGCTCTAACCTTCCGGAAAGAAAGGTATAAATTCACACTTAACCTATATATATTGTACATATATATATATTATTTTTTGGAATTCTATTTGCATTTTCTCCAAATATAATATATTTGATTCACTATTATTTAACGTAGTAAGTGGTGTTACGGAATTCTGTCAGTCAGACCTTCCCGTCAGCATAAACAAGGAAAGAGAAGAAGAAGAAGACGATAAGCTGTGAAGATACATTCTGTGGACATACAGTTTCTCGTCGCTTCCTATGGTCTCATTTTTTTCACACCAAGAGGAGGGTGAAGAAGGAGAGAGGATCTTGCGTATCACATTGAAACATTTACGACTGCATCAACAAGAGAGATAAAATAAAGTAATTATGTTAAAATTATTATTATTTTATTACAGCGCTATAAAATTACCTACTTGCACGACCATCGATTAAACCTTATTAATTTGAGCATGAACTAGTATCAATAGATATTTTATTTTATTTAGCATATTAGAAAAAGTTAGCTCTTTCAGTATATATAAAAACCCAGATGGCACAGATAGTTGAAAAAGAATTCCAAAAGAATTCAGTCGTTGTCAGTAATTATGAGTTCATTTTCAGATGCAAAAATAATTCTTTTCGGAGAATTGTACCGAAAAGAATTATTTTTTAATCTGGAAATGAACTTATAATTACTGACATACGACTGAATTCTTTTGGAATTCTCTGTGCTATCTGGGAATATAATATTAAGCAAATTCTGATAAAGTATGTGACATTTTTGTTACAGAAAAAAAGGATGCCAAAACAGCTATATTTATTATCTAAAAGAAGAAGATTTCAGTTAATTAACAATGAACTGGCACATCATAGTAGTTCCTTCCTGTCTAGAAAAGTAGAATCAGTAAAATGTAAAACTAATCATAGCGAATTAATTGTACCTCATTCGAGCAATGTTGAAAATAGTTCAACTATAAATATTAACTTCGATTTACATCATAAAGTAGATTGTCATTCTAATTTTTTATGTAGTGATAATGATTATATTAAAAAAACTGAACTAATGTTGAAGAAACATATGAAATAAGTTCTAATATCTCTGATAGTAATTTAGAAATGACTGCATAATTTTCCAGCAAAACAGCTGAGAATATTTCAGCACAGGAGTACGCAAGCAATCCAGCAGCCAAAAACGCTCCGTGTCCGCCGGCCTAAGCCCGATTAAAACTTATATTCTGGAAGTATTTTTAGAAACTTTCCTAAAGCTTCACTCGTTGCGGAATTCTTGATCAATAAATCAGAAGTAAGAAAACGCGTTCCTAAAATTCTTGCGAAATGCATTGAAATATAAAGTATTTATAAGATACAATCGATCGAGAGGGGTTTGTCAAAATAGTTCAAACATTTTCAGTTTGCTGTAACAATCAATAATATACGTAAAAACATAACAAACAACTTTTTTTTTATTTTTTTCCCATGATTCGATATCACTTTAATTGTACATTCATTTATTAATTATTAGCACAAAAGGAAAATATTTCGATTACTTTACAAATATGTTCGATTACAGTTATTTTATGATCACTTTATCTCTTGATTTCAAAGTATTTCGGCAACAATTTCTAGCATACTTTTTCTGTTAATGTCATAAATCACCGCGGCGAAGAAACAGGAGCCTTAAGACAATTTTTTAGTTAGCTACCGTAGCTATTGACATATATATATTCAGGGTGCACGACGATTTATCTGAAGACATGAAATATTTCGAAAACTAATGCATTGGATGAAAAAAAGTGGTTAATGAAAGTTGTTAGGCTCGAAGGGGGACATCCAATGATACCAAACGTCGACCTCCCGCCACCCCCTGGGGGTGGGTTTGGGGCAACTTTGAAATCTTAAATTGGAAATCAACTCCCATATTTTTATTGCAGATACGGATTCCACGCCACAAATACATAAATTTGTCGAAACTTTTTTTATTTGATTCGTGACAGATGGCGCGTAATCGCAAAAAATTTATATTTTCCGTAATTCTCCAGAAATGATCATTGGATTGAGAAATAAAATACCTGTTCAATATTTTAAAGAACATTAAAAATTATTCCCCCCATCCTCTCGGGTAAGGTCGGTGGTAACGTTCAAATCTGCATGACGGTTGCCCAGCGCATAACTCATAGCAGCACGGGAAGTATTAGACCGTGATTACAATGGTCGGTGGATTGCAGAGGTGGCCCGATTAATTGGCCTGCTAGGTCGCCCGAATTTGACATCGCCAGCATTTCTTTCTGTGGGGTTACTAAAAGATAAGGTTTATCAATAAGTGCCAACAAGTCGTGAAACATGGTAGAAACACATAAAGAAACGCTTGCGCTGAAACTCCCGCAGATATGCTTCTATCCTGTGTACAGTCATTTGAAAAAAGGATCAATAAGTGTATTGAAGTTGAAGGTTAAAAATTTCGAACACTTATTCTAATTAATTGAACAGTGAGAGGCAAGGGGACTCACATTAAAAAAGCACCCCGATCTGTGAGAGGCAAGGGGACTCACATTAAAAAGCACCCGAAGGGAAATAAAACTACTACGTCCTCGTCGTTGTTCCTGTGTAACGCTAAAAGTAGTTTCTCGGAAAACTTCAACGCTATCTATACGAATGAAAAAAAATTGTTTCAATAAAAATTTCACGTACAATCTAATTCTGCAATGAAAAATGTGGGTCCCATTGAGATTTGAACGTATCAACCCACCCTACCCGAAATGATGGGGGGAATAACTTTTATTATGTCTTTAAAAAATTTTGAACAGGTATTTTTATGTCTCAATCCAATGACATTTCTGGAGAATACGGAAAATAATAACTTTTTGCGATACAGCGCCATCTGTCACGAATAAAAAAAAAGTTTCCGACAAAATTATGTATTTTGTGGCGTGGAATCCGTATCTGCAATAAAAATGGGGGTTTCCATTTAAGATTTCAAAGTTGCCCCAAACCCACCGCCAGGGGGTGGTGGGAAGTCAAGTTTAATATCATTGGGATGTCCCCCTTCGAGACTAACAACTTCCCATTAACCACTTTTTTTTATCCAATGCATATTCTCGAGATATTTCATGTCTTCGAATAAATCGTGCACCCTGTATAAAATGTTTTACTAGAATATAATGTAAATACTATAAAGTCGGGTTGGCAAATCCTGTGATAATGTAAAGTGTACTACAAATAATAACATAATTATTTCAATTTTTTATAATGATTTGAAGAAGAAAAGTTATAAGCTTCAAGATTTTATAAATGCTACGTTTTCACATTGGCATCAATCGTTAATGAATTATGTGAATGTTGTACACAAAAGCGATATGTTGGTTAAAAATGAATTAATATTAACTCAAAAAATAATTGTTATACGTATATTTTCATTACAGGATGGAAAATTAATGAAAATACATAATATTAATTTATGTGCTGTTTCAACAACTAAAGTATTAATAAATTTTAGACAATTTTATAAGGTCATGAATGCCATATTTCACCATGGATCAAGTATCAATAATGGTCATTATACAAGTATATGTAGAGAGGGTACTTCTAATGTGTGGATCGAAGCTGATGATATGCAAATTAAAAGAGGCGATGGCCAAAAGTTCTAAGGACAGTTTATATACTTTTTTTGCAGAAAGTTGATATTGAATAATAATTTTTTCTTCTAAATTGTAAATAAATATATAAATATAGTAAATAACATGTTATAATAAGATTAAGAAGAACGACCGCCGTATCTGCTGTATCATATATCAATAAAAATACGACGGGGGTGGTGGTGAGACTTTTTCTACTTTTCGTGATAATGAATAAATCTAATTAACATTTTCTCTATCTAACTAAATTTACATATATTATCTATGTCAAATTTATGTAAAATGTTTTCCTATATTTGTAATAATTATTTATTTAAAATTAAATTATTATTGATATAAAAGATTACTTGATATATATTCTTATGAAAAAGATGTGATATCCAAGCAAACTAACCTTTTTTAAAAAAAATGGTGAAAAAACCGGCGCCAAGTTCACGCGCTTATGTGGAACCATTTTACATTTACAAGAGCAAATGTTTTTATAAAAAATGTTTTATTTACAAAATAACTAATCTAAAAATGTTACAAAAATATCAAATGTTATTATTAAAACTATTTTCTATTAAAAAAAGTATCAGATAGATAGGCCAAATAAAAATAAATTATACAAAATATAACAAAAAATGAGCTAAATAAAACTAATTTGAAATAAAAAGATATCCCAATCTAAAAAAGAGTTGGATACATTAAGTATAATGTTATTATATTATAAACAAACTAAAATAACTTATATATTAAGTAAAATGTTATAATAAATTGTAATAAAAAGTAGTGAAATCAAAACCTTACGCCAACTGATAACGAGAAAATATATAAAAATAGTTAACGTTAAAACAAAGAAATAATTTGGGAGCAGAGATATTACATTCTTGATGTTTCCTTTTGACACGAATAATGACAAAATTTTTATTTTGTAAGCAAGAATAAAAAAATTTTATTACACAAAAAATTAGTAAAAAAAAAAATAAAATTAAATTTACACAAAAAATACTTAGCGTGCCTTTGCTTATATAATATTTATAATAATGTGCCTGTATATTACAAGTTTCAGATAATTAACTTTCTAGAAATATTCATTATCATTATAAATTATTGCGACATAGGCACGCCAAGTGTTTTTTGTGTAAATTTTAATTTTATTTTTTTTGTACTAATTTTTTGTGTAACTAATTTTTGTGTAATAAATTTTTTATTCTTACTTACAAAATAAAAATTTTGTCATATTCGTGTCAAAAGGAAACATCAAGAATGTAATATCTTTGCTCCAAATTATTCTTTGTTTTAACGTTAACTATGTTTTTATATATTTTCTCGTTATCAGTTGGCGCAAGGTTTGATTTCACTACTTTTTATTACAATTTATTATAACATTTTATTAATATATAAGTTATTTTAGTTTGTTTATATAATAACATTATACTTAATGTATCCAACTCTTTTTTAGATTGGGATATCTTTTTATTTCAAATTAGTTTTATTTAGCTCATTTTTTGTTATATTTGTATAATTCATTTTTATTTAGCCTATCTATCTGATACTTTTTTAATAGAAAATAGTTTTAATAATAATATTTGTTATTTTTTGTAACATTTTTAGATTAGTTATTTTGTAAATAAAACTTTTTATAAAAACATTTGCTCTTGTAAATGTAAAATGGTTTCCACTAAAGCGCGTGAACTTGGCGCCAGTTTTTTTTACCTTTTTTTTAAAAAAGGTTAGTTGTTTGTTTTAATCACTGGGACGTTTACCTTTATATGCGTCTCAAAATTATGCTTTTGTGTTCAATAATTGATTAAAATATATGATCTTAGTCATATTTTTTCTGTTCAATTATTCCATTATTTGGAATTATTCATTATATTATAAAGTATAACAAACTTGTTTGTTTCTGTTCATATACTTTTTTATGTATCTTTATTCGAAATAAATAAACCTTTTGAACTGGAAGATGTTTTGCATTAGTATAATATATACATTCTCTCATCCTGGTACCAGTCGGCTGGGAATTTTTTTTCAAGTTTATAGCCTGAATCTCCTTATACTGAAGTGGTGTAACAATCTACGTCCAGCATGTTAAACATATGGTTTT